GGACCCTTCGGTCCAGTCTGTGTCGTTGGACCCTTCGGTCCGGTCTATATCGTTGGGCCCTCCGGCCCGGTCTGTTCAACACATAGCATACATATAACACAATGCACATAACTCATATATATACACATAGCATACAAGACCCTCTGGTCTACACATAAATACCACTCTAGGTAATGTATAGTGAGAAGACTCACCTCAATGAAGTCGGATAAACTCTCGTGCTTAACGTCCCGACTTAGCCTCCTCCTATTATTCAGATAACATCCCCGATCAATATTCTCTCATGATCTCATCTCTACAGATTGGGTAGAAGGCCATTCTACCCTTCCCTGAACTCTCCTGAATCAGTTTTTGACCAGAACCCTAAAGTCAACGAAAGTCAACGGTCAACTTTGACCCGACTCGTCGAGTGCACAAGGGCGACGCGGCGAGTCCATGCGGGTCCTCTGAATCCTTTCAGCCTCTCTTGGCTCGTCGAGTCATCCTTCCACTCGACGGGTTACACCTGTCACGAATCGCGGGGCAACCCCGACTCGACTCGTCGAGTCCACTTATGGACTCGGCGAGTTGCCTCCATGTTCATCCTCAAATGACCTCCTAAGGTCAGATCTGCTTCCCTAACTAACAGATCTACCCTTCAAATGTTCAAATGTCACGTAAAGGTGTATCTCAATAAAATACTGATGGGGATATATTGTTGATTCTTATATTAAGTTATCATAAATAAATATATGCGTGATGTATCTCAAGCAGCTTCATGTAAAGATGGTTAAGTTGCTTCGCATTTTATTTCCATTATTCAAAGTTCGAAACTTGTCTTTGACAAGTACTATATTATTTTGCCAGCAATTCTTACTATCCCACATCGTTGGCATGATAAAACTTGTATGAATTTCATCTTCTACAAAAGGAAGGTTATGCTCATATCCTTTCAAATCTAAGCTTGGAGGAATCCCACATCGGCTGGGACAAGAAACTTTTGCCACCTTAATGCTCTATATAATGATATATCAAACATGGAAGCGTTATACAACCGTTTGGGTTGCTGTTAAATGGGCTAGCCCAGAGTTAAAAGTTATAAAACCGGTTTTCGGTCCGGTTAGACCAGAAGGGTTTGACCCCGGTTCACAGAAAACCGCCGGTTTTAAACGGTTTGGTCCGCTAGCAGTTTTTGGTGTCTAAAAAACCGGTAACCTGGCCGGTTCCCGGTTGAACCGGTCAAACCGGCCGGTCCGGTCCAGTTTTCAAAACAGTGAGTGGGAGGGAAGCTTCTCTCACTTTTTGTGGGCCATACCACCATTTCACTCACTTTCCTTTACCTCACCTAAAACCCAAGGAATGGGTGAGAAGGGCTTCCCTCACTATTTTTTTTAAATAAAATTAATTTTTTTATGATTTATAATTTTTAAATTAATATTAAACATAAAATTTAATTAAAAATAAAAAGCATTTCATTAATTAAAATAAAAATTACATTTTACCTAATATTTAAATAAGTAGAAAATTAAAAAAAAAACGCAAAAAAAATCAATACGTCACTCGGAATCATAGTCCTCATCATCGACCTCATCTTCTTCCCCATTCTCCCGAACGTCACTCTCTTCATCAGAATCTTCGCTCTCGAAGAACATATCAGAATCCTCGTCTGATTCGTCAAACAAATCATCGCGAGAAAACTCTATCGGGGCTGAATATGAGTCCTATAAATGTGCTCTACCAAATCAGCACGAAGGGCGTGATGAATGTCGCGATTATGTACTTCTCTTCTAGTCACCCTATACTCTTGTGTACCAACGGCTACTCCTTCTTCATTTGGCAAAACTTCATTTTCGTTGTACCGACATATCGCTCTTCCTTCGTCTTCAAGAATCATATTATGCAATATGATACATGCATACATTAAGTGCTGTAACCTTTTCACTTCATATGACCTTGCCCCGATTGCTAGTACTTGCCAACGTCTCTTAAGTACACCAAATGCTCGCTGCACATCCTTCCTAGCTGACTCTTGCGCCTCTTTAAACTTTTTCCTTTTCGGGTCGTTAGGACATGTAAACGATTTCACAAAAACAGAAAAGGGAGGATATACACCGTCAGTAAGATAGTAACTACGCTTATATGCTACCCCATTTGTTTGAAAAGGTACATCGTGCGACTTTCCAAGGTAGATATCTGTTAGGTGCAATTTGTGCACCTTTTTGCACACATTTTAGTCCCATTTCATGCATCTATTTAACATAATTGTTCTTCCTTTTTCTTGCATTTCATCATATTCATGTTAGTCTCCAGAACAACCTTATTTGCACACTTTCATGTCTTTTTCAGGTAAACCGGAGCTTGGAATGCGCTTTGGGAGGTGCCGGGAAGCATTGGTGAAGATTTCGGGATGATCGGACGAAGAACGGAAAAGTTGGAAAAATCAAGTTTGGATTCGGATTCAGAGGGGTACACGGGTCGTGTTGGATTTACACTGAAAAGTGAGCACGGGGCGTGTTGACCAAGAAGAAGCTGTTGACCATGCTGAACACGGGCCGTGTCAGTTTAGTGCAAATCAACACGGACCGTGTTGACTGCTGAACACGACCCGTGTCAGTTTAGCCTATTTTGACACGGGCCATGTTCGACCCAAAAACTGTCTTTTGGCAGTTTTTCCTATTTTTCATATCACGGGAATTTGGTCATTTTTACACACACAACATATCAGAGCACATTTTGAGAGGGGATTTCGAAGGTTTTTACAAGGATTTGATCATTTATCATTTGGAAACATTATTTCTCTTATTTGTAAGTTGTAATTGCACATTATTTCCATATTTTATTCTTGTGATCTTGTTCTAGCCATGTGTGGCTAGAACCCTAGTTTCTCCAATTTCATGTTTTGACTTCTTGGTAGTGACTTCAATCATATGACATGATGTTTGTTCTTAATTTCTATCTAGTGAATTTGATTTAGCTTTAATCGAATGTTTGATTCTAATTGTGATTCTTATTGGCCATTTGAATTAGGGTTAGGTCATTCAAGTTATCTCTTTTACAAAATCCGTAATTGTTTTGTGAAATTAAACAAGTAACAAGCACTAAACTGATTTCCATTGAATGAATTTAGTGTAAATCTTATTCACACACTCTTACGCTCCCGAGCTTGTAAGGAGTATTGGGTGTTGTTGGGAACATTCACATAAAGTTTAATGAAATCTTTCAATCTAATTCTAAGAGCGTGTTTAGATTAGGTTAGTAAGGTTAGGGTTAATCAAAGAGCTTGTTTTAGTTAATTAATGTGGTGAATGGGAAGTGTTAGAGCTTGTTAACACTTTCAAGTACCAACTTAGATAGAATTGAGCAAATATTATCTTATCTTGGAATCACATTGCTAAGTTGTCATACATGAAGTTGGAGTCCTTACCATTTCTGAATTTAATTCACTCTTTTAGTTGATTACTTGTGTTTTTAATTGTTTGTTTTAATGATTTCATTCTAAACCCCCATCTTTACTGTTGGTGACCATAGTACCTTGCACAAAGAGGTATAGACTAATTATCCCGTGTCTCTGTGGATCGACCCTACTTGCCTTGTACTACCTTTCTAGTGCAATATAGTGGGATTATTTTGGAGTATATCGTACCCCTATTATTTGTTGGGTCTGACACACCTAACAATATCGTTGAATACCGGCGACTGGTCTAGCACATTGATGTCATTGTTTGCACCAACTGGACCAAAGAATGCATGCCATATCCAAAGATCATGTGATGCGATAGCTTCTAGAACGATCGTCGGCTCTTTGTGGTCGCCTCTCATGTACTGACCACGCCATGCGTTGGGGCATAATGACCAACCCCAATGCATGCAATCGATACTACCAAGCATTCCAAGGAATCCATGCTTGCCTTCATGCACCGTGTACAATTGGTGGATATCGTTGATAGTTGGTTTGCGCAAATATCGTTGCCCATAAACCAAACAGATTGTTTTGCAGAACTTGTACACACATTCCCGCACGGTACGCTCTGACATCCTATAATACTTGTCCCATTTGTCTGCGCCTATGCCGTATGCTAATTGACGAATTGCAGCCATGCATTTTTGAATGGGAGAGAAACCTTTTATCCTCCTTGCATCCATTTTCCATTGGAAATATGGAAAGCGACCTTCCAAATCACCAACAATACGTAAGAATAGTTCCTTCCTCATTCGGAACCGACGTCGAAACTTTACAGCGTAGATGGCGTCATCTGCAAAGTAATCTTCAATAAGACGACCGTGTCCGACTTCGTGATTTCTACGCAACCACAACTTTCTTGGTTTAGATCGTGCACGTGATGTTTCGCCTAGTCGGTTTTGATAGTATGCAACCGTTTTCGCCATGACGGAACCGATAAACTTAGCCTCCTCTACAGCCGTCAAATCGGATGATGAAGATGATGATATTTTGATTAATATTTTTTGGAGAGAAGTATAAGGTATGGGTTAAAAAAATAGTTGGATGTTGTGGTATTTATAATTTAAAAAAGGGAAAAAAACAAATATATATATATATATATATATATATATATATATATATATATATATATATATTAACGGCTATATAGCCGTTTGAATCAAAAAAAGAAAAAAAAAATAACGGACGAATGAGGTGAAGAGTGAGAACGCCGGATACCTACCCCCACCCCCTTCCCGCGCTTTGCATCCCACATCGACATTGCGGTGTTCCCGCATGCGGGAAACGTCCTGCACCCCCTCCCCGCAGCTCCATTCCGTCAGGCCTAACAAACATAGCTACATAAACTATAATTGTATTATCTATTATAGCATGTTAATTGTAATAACATGCATCAAAACCAAAGGCTTTATGATAGGAATGGAATAGATATTTTAGCCCAAAACCCAATTGTAAGACACTCTTAGACCTTAGTGGGCTAACAGTGTATATTGGAATATTGGATATTTGGATCTAGCAAATAATAGACTGGACTGGGCTACAAATAGCTTTAGCCTTATATATCAACCTCAACCTTCCGTTCATATCTCGTAATTAGGGTTTCAAACTTTCAGAAGGAGCCTTCTGTGCAGTTCACTTCGGCTTCGATCAATGGGTACGTTTTCGGTTTCGATTTGTTCTTCTCGATTTATTTCGATTATATCGCCTAATTTATGTCTATAATATACGGGAAATACAGCTCGAATCAAAGTTCATGAGCTTAGGAGCAAATCGAAGGCTGATTTGTTTGCCGAGTTGAAGGATCTCAAGGCTGAACTTGCTCTTCTCCGTGTCGCCAAAGTTACTGGTGGTGCTCCGAACAAGCTATCCAAGATGTAAGTAACTTCTCTCTACACACATCTGTATTCATTTATCGCTAAGATTGATTGCAAGTTACCTTCAATTGCAGACAAAACGTTGCTGTTTTATATAGAATTGCAATAAATAATTACATATTCCTCTTGCTGCTTTTCTTGCCACGGGATCAACTTTTGCACCGAATTAATTGAAAAACATTGAATTTCTATAACAAAAAATTTAGCAGATTGACGTGCTGGTGTTATTTATTTATTTATGTTGTCAACATGTATTTTTGCAGAAAAGTGGTGAGGACATCAATTGCTCAGGTTCTGACTGTGATTTCACAAACTCAGAAGTCTGCTCTTAGGGAAGCTTACAAGAACAAGAAATACTTGCCTCTTGATTTGCGCCCAAAGAAAACCAGAGCCATCCGCAGACGTTTAACCAAGCATCAGGTATATCTCAATGACTCTTGCATTAGTATACGACCAGCATTTTTTGGTAATTTTATATATTTGTTGGGAGAATTCCATATTGATATAAATTAGAAATAAAATGTGATTTAGAGATATGATAATTGCATCATGTCAATGTTTGGTGTAGGTTTCATTGAAGACTGAAAGAGAGAAGAAGAAGGAGAAGTACTTCCCATTGAGGAAGTATGCTATCAAGGCGTAAGGTGGAAATTATCCAGGATGATATTTAGGTATTAATGTGTTTAAAACTTGTTCCAATTTTGAAGTCTGATTCTCTGTACGATTGATCAGAAATCATGTATTTGATAGTTTGTTTGCAATGAGTTACAAGATGATCAACATTTGTGTTTGCTCTTGATGTTGCCTAGCTATTTCTTTATGAATGAAGTTTACTATTGTTGGTTCCCTTTGATTATATGTATTTGTTTTAACCTTTCTTAAATTACTGATTACTTATTTAACAAAAATGGTCATCTGAAATGGCATGATATATAATTTCACCATTTGAGTCATGTTTCAAAATAAATTCGATATTTTTTATGTATTTGTTGGATTTTGAATTTACAGGAAAGGCAATAAGATGTTTCTTAATATTTTGTTTGTGGTTTTATTCATTTTAATGTTTTGCTTATTTTGATGTTTTAGACTAATCATTTGAGAGCATTACTCTATTTGTAACATGTATGTAAGGTCTTTGTATCCTTTGGCATGTTGAATGAAAATGAAAATTGTTTGTTGTTTATGAAAATGACCTATTAATGTTTGTATTCCATTAATTTGTAGTTTCCCTTAAATAAACTATGATGTCCATTATTTTTTTTGAAACAACAATTATATAAACAAACTCTAGCAAGAAACTAGAGCAAAATAAAAGTTGCATAAGTGTTTAAGCTAAAGAGGATTACACAACCTTCCTATCCCAATACATTTTGTATTTTTTTTCTTCTATCACTAATCTAAAAGAGAAACATAGACACAATATCATCAAAAATGTCTTCTTTCTTCGGTTTAGATGTTCCAAAGAGCAAGGCGTTTCGATGTTTCCAAAAAGTCTAAAAAGTTGTGATAACTACCACATTAATTTGCAAAGTATCCAACGAAGTCATATCAGACCAAGAAACGAAGCTAGAAACATAGTAAACTGCGGGGTACAAAAATTCGAATGAAATATCATATCCATAATGCTAAAAAGGAATTGCACTTACATTAACTACTTGATGGGAAATTCGTAGTTCGTGGAGTTCTAAACATTAAAGAAAACACTAATATAAATTAGCTTTTTAAAAGGATGATCCAAACCTATCTTTAAGAGTTCTATATGTTTTCAATTTGAGTTTTAGCATGCTCTGCTTTAACCTCTTTAATTTAATCTTTGACTTTGGTGGTAATGGATTTAGTTGTGTTTCATCATCAGTCAAACACTTTCATTTTCCTCATCAATGGTATCGCCGTATGATGCTTCTCCCTACAAATAAACAATTAGTTAGTATGATATAATCAACCATTTAATGATAGATATAATAGATGCATATAATAGATGATAGATATAATCAACCATTTAATGATAGATATAATAGATGCATATAATAGATCACATATCTAGGCATTTCTATTTTCAAAGGTTCCTATAAGACAACTATAAACTATTATCCCATCATATATATGTAACCTACTTCTGTAAGCGGTTTCCATTATAAATCAAGTGTACCACCAGAGCCTTCATTAAACTTCCTATTTTAGAATAGTTTTTCTGATTTTGAACTGATTGGACACATTTCGGAGTATGAAAACTACTACAAAAAATACCTAATAAATACGAAACACATACGGAAGACCATTTAAAATACAAAATCAATATATTTTGGAAAAGTTCGTAACATTTGGGGATTGAATTTTCATTTCGGACATTGGTTTATTAAAAAAATTAAATGTCAAAAATTAATATACAATTAATTTTGGTTTTCTACAATTAATTAATCAAAACCTAATAGTTTGTTAACATACCTATTTTTACGTAACTATAACTTTATTATTCTTCACATATACACTAGAACTTACTTCTATTAATGGTTTGTTAATATACCTATTTTTACATAATTAAAAGTGTTTATATTCATTCAGTTCATTTAATTTTTGATATTGAAATGATTTTTTTGGTGTACAGAAAATATTAATTTGGTGTGGCGGCTATTATGTAGTGGTTTGCTGAGACTGGGTTATTTTGGCCCTTACACTTTAGAACTTTCTAACTTTACCCCTAACAAGAAATTCTTTAGCCTAGCTAGTATCCCATTCCTACCCTTGGCCATTTCAAAATTTCATCACCACCAACTTCGGCTACAACACTAAATGGACTATTTTCCCTTCACAAAAAGTTTAGAGAACACCAAACATACACACAGAATTATGAATAACAAGACAACATTTTATAAATTAAACAACTGCTTACATCCTGCGAACCCATAAAAATAAAAACAACTGTAAATCTATTCCTCAAAATGAATTAGCACAAAATCAAACTACAATAAATAGCAAGTGGCACTAAACATCCTCATGAGGCGGGCAAAGGATGATCCGAGCAATAACTATGGTCTTCATGACCCTAAAGTCTCATCTTGTTTTCCAATCTTGTAACTCCAATATGGCTTCCCTACGTATATATAGGTTTGAAAATTGTTAGTCCTAGAATGTTGATAAAGTCAGGTGCAAGTAGTAATAATGGACCATGTTAGCAACCATGACATCAAGTGGTTAAATACTTAAATTTGTGGCCAAAATTTGAAGTTTGTATATATGACTTTCGTATATGTAAGGAACTAGTAAATAGGTTTGACAAGATATAAAGAAGTTAACAAAGTTTGTAAACAGTTTCAAACAAGCCATATAATTATATATAAAAAAAACATTAAAGAAGACTACCCGACTTTAAATTGGTGTAATTATATAAAATCTTCATATATAAATGATTTTATATTGGCATTATATTTGTTAAAACCCGTTGTTCCGGTGATTTTGAAAACGGGTCAAAAATGTATCGTGGGTAAGAATAGGGAGGGAGATAACTTAGTTATAAGTGGCCATATTTAATTTTGACCATTAAGTTTTGGTATTTACGTTATTGTTATAAAGTTTGTCATTCATGTGTGTCCTATCATGTTAAGAAAATAAATACCAGTTGTTTAAAATTAAAAAGATGACCTACTCTAGATTGTTATTTGAGGAATATTAACCACAAATTAACAAGCCGACCGTGAAAAACAAGTTTGCTATCAACTATAATGGAGTACATACAATTTTCAACTTTTCTTTCAAAAAAAGTCTCATGCAAATTTATCATTTGTTCAATTTTACTTTTGCAAGTTGATTTTGTCTAGGATGGAACTTTGGTCTGTATGTACCCGACCTTGACAAATTGGGATTCCCGTCTTAATAGGTAACGAGGCGGAGACAAACTGATATAAATTAGTTTTCATACCTAAATCGTTTCCGTTGTTAATAAAAAATAACATATTTTCTTGATGAAACAAACTATATTAATTTGAAGTAAAATAGTGAAACTGAAAATTATGATATAGATTATAGAGAAAGTATTTGGTGTTGAAAGTATTTGCTCCTAATGTTTAATTTTTTTTTTTTTTTTTTTTTTTGTTGCATTTGGGAATGTAAATTTTGAATCGGAGTTTGTTGAATTCAAATTCTGAACCGATTTCATTGAATTGTACTTCTGTTATGCAGTTTCTTTAGTCCCATAATATTTTGTTTTAGCATTTTTTCTGCGTGTGCATTTTTTTAGTTCAAATTCTATATAGAGATAGAGACAGTGACATCGAAGGGTTGACCGGAAGATGAATGAGGGAGCATGATGGTGGCTTCTGGTACATGCAGGGAAATATACGAGAGAAATGGTAGGTCAATGGGATGAGTTGTTATTATATAAAAATAGTTTAAATAATAATATAAAAAATAATTAAATAATAAAGTAAATGGTATATTGGTCATTTTATATCATTTTAATGGAGATTTTCTAACAGAGTTAGAAGAAAGAAGGACAGAGGGGTGGAGGTTGTAACTTTTTAAAATCATATGGATGAAACCTATCACTTTTTTAACTTAAGGATCAAATGTAACCAAACCACTAGACAAAAACTGTAATTTACCCTACTTATAATCTTTTATAAAGTTTATAATATAAATGTTCATAGAGGACATGAGAAAGTTCATAGGGGACAGTTTAACCTTTAATATTCCCACCCTATTTAAATTCCATCACAAACCCACATCTCCAACAGAAACCAAATCACTCCAACTTCTAAAGGATTCGCTCATTGGCTACTGCCTCATTACATGTGAATCAATGGCGATCCCTGAAACCCCACACACAACTAACAAATTGTCAAACAAATTGAATAAAAGACCAAGAAATCTAATCACTCTCTTCTCCTTCACTACCACCACAACCACCACTACTACTTCTTCTTCTCCATGTTCATCTTCACCATCTGAATCCATGATGGAAGAAAACATAAAAAACGCAGAGGCAATCATCCACAAATGGGACATCAATGGTGATTCTTACACCAGATTCATCTCCATCTTTCAAGACAACACCAGAGAAGCTACAGTTTTCATCAATTGCGTCAAAGGACTACACCGTGCTATGCATTTCCTCGTTTCAAATGATCCGAGGTCAGAGATGCTAGCTGTTGCTCAGAGACTGATGAAAATTGCAATGAAACGTCTCGAGAAAGAGTTTCATCTAATCTTATCAGATAATCGTGAGTACTTGGAGCCTAGATCTGTTTCTAGCTGGCCTTCTCGATTGTCATGGTCCAGCACTGAATCGGAAGATGAACGAAAACTACAAATCTCGGTTTCTGATGTTGAATCACTATCGATGATTGCAATTTCAATTCTCAGGCTGATAGCTGATACGATGATTAGTTGTGGTTACGGCAAGGAGTGTATCAAAAGTTATAAAATGATACGAAAATCAGCCATCAATGAAGCTTTATTTCATCTCGGAATCCAGCCTTACTGTTATTTTCACATCAAGAAGATGGTAGACGCTTCACATTTTGAATATCATGTCAAAAGTTGGTTGAATGCGGTTCCAATCGCAGTGAAGACACTCTTCCATGGAGAGAAGTTTCTCTGCGATTACGTCTTCACTTCGTTTGTAGAAATCAGGGATTCCTGTTTCGAGAATTCAACGGAAGGAGCGCTGAATCTGTTCACATTTCCCGAACTCATTGCAACGAGATGCAAGAGACTGAAGTCGGAGACAATTTTCGTGATGATGGAGTTGTATGATTCGATTTCAAATCTATGGCCAGAAATCGAATCACTCTTCTCATATGAATCTGTCTCGTCGGTGAAAATGCAAGCGCTGTCGTCTCTTCACAAACTCGGCGACTCCATCAGAACTGTTCTTCGCGAGTTGGAATCGTCGATTCATAATAACTCATCTAAACTTACTGTATCCGGCGGTGGAATTCATCCGTTGAATGATTCAGTCATGACTTACTTATCATCGCTGGCTGAGTACGGCAGTGCCCTAAGTGATGTCATCGTAGATGACTTGCCGTTCAAGGAACAATCGCCATTTCTGGAATCCTACATGGAGTGCCTGAACACCGACGAAGTTTCGCCGCCGGCCGTTACCGTAAAGCTCGCATGGATCATTCTCGTTCTTCTATGCAAATTGGACGGCAAAGCTAAGTTTCACAACTACGTTGCACTATCGTATCTCTTCCTAGTCAACAATCTCCATTTCATTATCGAAAAGGTCCGTGAAACAAATCTGAAATCTATTCTAGGAGAAGAATGGATAATGAAACACGAAAAGAAGTTAAAGCAATATGTATCAAGCTACGAATCCATGTCTTGGAATAAGGTGATTTCATGTTTGCCGGAAAATTCAGTGGTGTGCCCGGAGAAGGTGAGGGATTGCTTCAGGAGGTTGTACTCTACATTTGAGGAGGTATACGGGAAGCAAACGACGTGGATTGTGGTGGACGAAAAGATGAGAGATAAGATGAAGGCCTCGATCGCGAACAGATTAGTGCCGGCGTATGAGGAATTTTACGGCAAGCATTTAATCACGTTAAGCGAAGACGAGAGGTGTATGAAGATGTTGACGAGTCTTTCGCCGGAAAACATGGCAAACTGCTTGTCTGTGCTTTTCCCGGGATCGCCGGTGATTTTAAGAAACTCGGGGTCGTTTTCATTGACTTTGCCAACCGTTTCAGTATCACAAACTTCCCGCCCTTTCCGATGATACAGAAATATTTATGTTCTTTTAAGAAAGCATTTAAACAGAAATATTTATGAATTACAATTTACACACATATATAAACTTGAAATCATTAATTAAATCATGTCCATCAAATGCCAACCAAATTAAACTAATACACACAATCAATGGTTATATAGCTGTTTGAGTACATTTTGTCTAAGGTGTTCATAAATTAACCGGATCAAATTTGAACTAATTGATCAAATTCGAACTCGATTGGATCGGTTTTGAAGTTTGAAAATCCAATTGGATTGGATCGGTTCTTGGATGACGTTGAAAATCCAATGGATAATTGAACCGATCCAACATTCATCCAATTGGATATCCAATATTATCATCTGATACATATCTAATTACCATCCAATGTTATATCTATGTTAGCATCCAATGTTAAATAAAATCGTGACAACCAGAAATTTTCTAACCAATCATTCAAATAAATGGAACCAACAAGCAAAATTCATGGATTTTAACAGTAACAAAATTCATAAGGGACTAAAGTAGACATTTCAAACAACTTGTTGGTTCAAAACAAGCATAACCCTATAAGAAATAGACAAAAGAAAAAACAATGCATATAAAAAACATTATTGTATATTCATAATACTTTTAAATACATACATAAACAAAAATATTTATCAATCACATATGCATATTTACATGCTTATGTCAATTAATTCCGATATATTATGTCTGATTAATCTCACAAATCATGAAGTGCCTTGCTCAGCTGGTTTTGCAACAGATTGCCAACCAGTACAGACCTGGAGAGTCTGTTTCAGTGCATCTGAAGCAGGTTCCATTGTCCATTTTGGATAAAACTCACTTGGATGAAACATCTTTTCCCCATTTGCTTCTTTCACTGGACATGATTGAGCTCCATTTAAAACCAAGTCCCCTTCTGAAACTATCAACCCTGATCTTCCTTCCTCCTTATCTGCTGCCTATTTATATTTTACCAACAAAATTGATTATAAAAATATAAATGTATGTTCAGGGATTAATAAATAGATTCGAGAGCAAAAGTTTGATGCAGTTGCCTTTTCGGTATAAAATTCGAATGCTTTTTTCTTCTCTCCTGCTTCATAGATGTTGCATTGAGAATATATCTGAAGCAAAAGTATATATATATATATATATATATATATATATATATATATATATATATATATATATATATATATATATATATAAGTTAATCTTGACAGTTACTACAGTTAAGGATGATGGTTTTCTGTTGTATCGTTTTATCATCTGGTTTTTCTGTTGTATCATTTTACCTGTGCTTCTACACTAGCACAAATAGCATATACTCCCCAATTTCTAGTGTAATTGTTGTAAAGATGAACTTTCCCAAATCGAAGACGAGGGTGTCTTTGTCGTGTCCCATCAAAAAAACAATGATGAATTGTGACTCTGATACATCTATCATCAACATGAGATGGATCCGCTCCAATAAGCATTGTCTTATCATGATTAGCAAAGTAACATCTGCTAGCAAGAATCAGAGATCCCATTAAGAAATGAAAATCATCCACAATATTTTCATCAGAAAATTTTAAAAGTCACCTGGAAACTGTAATGTCTGTGCTTTGTCTGGTTATATCTATAAGTCCATCATCATAGTCACGCAGGCTGCATTGATCAATCCAAATGTGCTTTGAATTTGGTTTAATTTGTATACCATCAACATCATGTCCTCTACCACCTTCAAATTCCAGATTGCATATTATAATATTTTCGCACTCCTTTAGTCTCAAACCTTTTCCTGTTAGTTTTATACGCTGCCCACGACCATCAATGGTTTTATGTGATGAGACATTCAAGTAGGATGACAGATCAATAGTTCCTGATATTTCAAAGATTATCCACAATGGTTCTTTCATGCGACATGCTTCCCGAAGTGATCCTGGCCCATCATCTACAAAGACATTTATACAAATTACAACACAAGGACAATCAAATTGATTATGATTGACTATCCATCAAAAACAAGTGTCTTGAGAAATTTCAGAGGATTGGAGAGAGTATGTATTCTCAGCATGGATTAAACAGAAATGGGACACATATTGATTCTATGTACCGATCAAATTGAAGATAAATACGGATTTCGTTACAATCAAACACGGACATTATCATTTATTAGAAATTGTTCTTAGAATCATATCGAAGTTGAAATCTAGTAATTTAGAAATTCATCCGTGTATAAAGAGAATCTGTTCAGGATAACAGTAATTTCTGATTGTTTTAACAAATGAATCATAACGAGATATTGAAAATTCACTCATATGAAGACATATTATCAACAGATAACCATACACCGTGAATAAAATTGTTTTTTTTTTTAATCCGGAAATCGAAATGATCTCGTAAAAATCAAACAAATTACCAGCCAAGGAGGTGATGCGATGCACAGGACCATGAGCGCCACCGACTGCAGAACGGCCAAAACCCTCGGCCCGACCGGCCATTCCTTTCAAGCTTGAATCAACATCGGCGTATGGTAACGTTCTCGCCATGTGTATGCTTACGTGAACGTTGTTATGTTGGCTAAGGATGAGACTTTTTGAGGCAAAATCTAATCGATTGATCGTCGCCAGCCGGAGAATAAAAGCGGAAATGTTTTCAAGCTGGGGCGTCGTAACATTCTCAATCTTACATACAAATGGAACTTTTCCGTTGCTACAAAGCGTTTATAAAGCTAAAAAAAAAAAGTAAATTAAATGAGTGTTTTGTTTGGCTTAATTTGTATATTTGGTCCTAATTTTATTTTTTATTTTTTTTATTTATTTTTTTTTTTTTTAACTCTGAAGGTCTTTATAATTTAGTTTTGTTACAAAGTTGGTCCTAATCAACATAAAAAAACTTATTTGTCATTTATTAATTTCTTTTATCCTTTTTACATTATAAATGATTTTAAAAGAATTTATAAATATGTTAGAAAAATTTGAGTTAAGTATTTTAGCTCTTTAAACTGAAAAACCAAATCATCCCACCCATCCTCCCCCTCATTGTGTTCAGTCACGGAAAACCACCTCCTACCACCATCACCACTAACCTCCGGCTACCAACATCAACACTAACCTTCGGCTACCACCATCGCTACCTCTGTAATTGGAAAAAATACCATTGATGTTAAAATCCAAAAAAACGCTAACCTAGAAATCCATTCACAAGATCAAAGCTATTCAAGAAATCAAGGGTGTGTTTGGGATTGCTTTTTGAACATAAAAGTCCTTTTTGTAAAAGAACTTTGTCTTAAAGATGGTGTTTAAAATGTGTTTGACTTGTCTTTTATGAGTTTTAAGTGATAAAAGCTAAAAGTCACAAAAAGATAGGAATTCCTATCTTTTCTCCAGCCAACTTTTCCTTCTTGACTAAAAGTTGGTTTTAAAAGATCTTTTTAATTTGCCAAACAACTTTTAGTAATTTTTAACTTTTTGAAAAAGTTAAAAGTAAAAAAGATAGAAATGCCAAACACCCTCCAAATCCGAAAACCCGTTAAAAAAATCAAATCCAGAATCCAAAAACTACATAAACAAAGAAACACATACTCACACATAGATGTAAAAAAACCTGATGCAACTTCGATTTCTTCTGATTTGAAGCTCAGTTAGTCACATATAGTTTCGATTTCTTCTGATTTGAAGCTCAATCGAGTTGACCTGGAATCGATTTCGTCTAACAGTAACACAGTAACAGGAGCATAAACATGGTATATTCTTTAGGGTTTTCAGTTATTTTGAACCCTAATCGACCATGAGGGTTTTATGGGGCACAATGGTAGGGAGAAAACGAAGGGGAAGGGGAAGGGGAAGGAGCTGGGGGTTTGGTCGGAAACAACCAAGACAACGTCGGGATTTAAGATTTGTTCGTTAGACGTCGGGTTCCAGAAATCGTTGGTTGAAGTGGTCGACGGACGCCAGGTCCTGGTTAGTAGATTGCTTCTTCTTGTTGGCGCCGATGCCATGGGAGATGTGGTTATCGCTTGAAAGACGAACCGATGTTTATAATAGGTCGGCAAAGTGGTTTGTGGTCATCGCCGAAGACTGTGGTTGGGCGAGTTGTCAATTTCGAGGAAGATGGTGTGGGCGATTGAGAGGAGACGAGAGGAGGGAGTCTGAGAGGGAGAAAGCCGATATGTTCGGGGATAAAGGGGAAGGAGGGTGGCCGATGGTTTTTGTTTTCCTTTTTATTTTAATTTAAAAATGATAAATAATCTAATAGAAAATAAAAAAAAATTATTAAGGGCAAATCAGTCTTTTTATGTTGATTAGGGACCAAGTTCAAAATAAAATTAAACTATACGGACCTGTTGAGTTTTAAAAAAAATCAGTATCCAAACACGCAAATTATCCCAAACCACATGGATCATTCGTGTAATTTACTCTAAAAAAAATCAAATGATCAAATCCATGGTTAAGGTTAATGTCAATGAACTTAATTTATTGCTTTCTAGGAATATAAAATCGATACTATTTATATCCACAATACAAGCTCAACGAGAAGTTAGGAACAAAGGCATCAGATCTTGTACTTGTATTGTGCAAATATAGCATCCAGTAACACAATATATACCAAATAATCAAACACCTGACATCCCCTCATACGACTACTACAATTCAACAAAACCATTTCCGTTGACATCTCGATGATCATATGATCATAAAACCATTTTCTACTAAAAGAAGTTGGTTTGGATTAAAGAAAAACATAAAATTCAAAATTGAAATACAATTAAAGCCATATGATGGTGAAAAAGCTAGAGACTTTCAACTCAAGCTTATTACCCTCTTCGATGGTAGTAATTTGCTTCCGGGTGACCTTAACCCCTGACTCGACGACAACAACCATTGGAGATTTCCTGCCAACTAATATCTTCATTTTGATTTAGGCTCCGCCAACGACCAACAAAACGAGGACGTTGAGTTAATGTGATATGATATATCAATACATTCCGTGTGAAAGTTATGTTTACATTTGGGTAAAATCCAACTATACTCATATCTTCAAACTCTAACAAACACACAACACATTCCATTACATTTATGTGGGTTTCCAGTGAGTACACAAACAAGTGAAGTGTCTTGGAGCTAAAATTTGCATTCAGTTTATCCTCTATCTTTTTTTTTTCAATCTCTAATTTTCTACGTGGAGCCGTTACCTAATAAGTGGGTGCAAAGAAATTGTGATGAATATGAATGGGAAGATGATTTAGACGTGAGGAATGAGATGTTCAAGAAAGGAAGGAGAAATGGATTTATGGAAGAACCCAAACGGGTTAGAAAGAGCTTATGATGGTGGTACCAAGCGTGATTGTGATGGTTGGCGACAGAGATGTCGGGGTGGTGGGAGAACATATAGGGTTAAGGTTGTTGACATTATCATTTATTTTGCTAGAAATTGCTCTTAGAATCATATCAAAGTTGAAATCTAGCAATTTAAAAATTCATCCGTGTATAAAGAGAATATTTTCGGGATCACAGTAATTTTTGATTGTTTTAAAAAATGAATCATAACAAGATATTGAAAATTCACTCATATGAAGACATATTATCAACAGAAAACCATACACCGTGAACAAAATTGTTTTTTTTTTCAATCCGGAAATCAAAATGATCTTGTAAAAATAAAACGAACTACCAGCCAAGGAGGTGAAGCGATGCACAGGACCATGAGCGCCACCGACTGCAGAACGACCAAAACCCTTGGCCCGACCGACCATTCCTTTTAAGCCCGAATCAACATCGATGTATGGTAATGTTGTCGCAATGTGTATTTTTATGTGAACGTTGTTATGTTGGCTGAGGAAGAGACTTTTTGAGGCAAAATATAAGTGATGGATCCTTGCCGACCGAGGAATAAAAGCGAAAATGTTTTCAAGATGGGGTGTCATAGCATTCTCAATCTTGCATACAAATGATACTTTTCGGTTGCCACAACGCATTTATAAAGCTACGACAAAACACACACAAAAAAAATCCCAAAAGTCATTAATTTTACATGAAAATTCGATTTTAACAATGCGTTATTTTTCATCTTAAATTGGACACCGTGTTTCCAATTGTTTATAATTCTGAATATTTGACCGGTCAACCCGATTTCCTGCTGACGTGACATTATGACGTGTCAGTTTTGATGATGTGACATGCTGACATGACATATTGATGTGTTAAAATTGAAAAAATTACACAAAAGACACCAAGTGTTTATTTTTTTCAATTTTGACACTAAGTTTTAATTTGTTTTTTAATTTTGACACACCATTTTTTTGTTCCAAATCGACATCATTTTTTCCAATTTGTTCGATATTGATCATTTTTTTTTACATTTGAAACGGTATGAATATTTTTTTTTTCACTTAAAGACAACATTTTTGGTATAAATATAAGGTTTTTTTATATATAAACCATAATGTTATGTATAAATATATATTATTATATTATAACCGTATTTTTCATTGAATATACAACTTTAGAATGAGTTTGAAGGTATGCACAATCAAATAAATTAATGTGATTACAATTAAATACACCATTTTTAAAGATAACAAACTAAATATGTATTAATTATATTACTAGTTGTGAAACCCGTATTTTATACAGGTTGGATAAAATAAAAAATTAAATATGAAGGTTTAAACAAAAATTTAGTTAAATTTGAAATTTTAGATTTGAAATTTAAAATTTAAAATTTAAATTTAAAAGGAAACATATTAAATACTATATGAGTTGTAATATTGTAATTTTATTGATTATTTTCAATTAAGGCAATTATTAATTGAGGTGTAAATATGATGTGTTAATTAAGAAAAAATAAAAAAAAAAATGAGAAAATGACAAATGGAAAAAAAGTTTATTCAAAAATACCAAAAAATGACATGTGTCCAAGTTAATGAGAGAGTGACATGTGACAAAATTATTTTCATTTATTAGGGAGGATAACCGTATTTTTTATGCATTATTGAGATGTTATAATTTTTTCTAACAAAGCGAGAAGTATATCTAAAAGAACCAAAAATCATGAATATATACAACGGAAGGTTCCTTGGTAATTAAAGCGACACTCAGACATTTGTGTTTCCAAAACCTTATTAATTTATCTGACTGTGCATTCCACACATCAAAACTCATTTTAAAGTTGCGTATATAATGAAAAATACCGTTATAATATAAATGATACATATTTATACATAACATTATGGTTTGAATGTAAAAAACCTTGTATTTATAAAAAACAAATACGATTTTTAAATAAAAAATATATATTTATATGGTTTCAAATGCAAAAATAATTATTTATACAGTTTCAAATGGTAAATGGTCAAAGTGAACAAAAATGGAAAAATTGATGTTCGATTTGGAACAAAAAAATAGAGTGTCAAAATTGATAAAAAAAAATGAAACATCCCAAAAATACGGTCCAAAAATTTCTTTTTAAAATCATTTAAGAAAACCATAATGCATCCACATCATAATAAAATCACAAGTCATGTATCCAAAACATCATATCCAAATACTGTATCAAAACCATGCATCAAAATATCAGAGTCTAAAACATCCCAGACTATAAACTGTGGTGTGTGTCATGCAGTCATCCCAAGCTCTTCCCCTTGCTAGTGAAAGTACCTGAAACCAAAACTGAAAACTGTAAGCACGAAGCTTAGTGAGTCTCCCTAAACTACCACATACCATA